AGTGCAAAAATGTAGTAAATTTTCACATGGAATTTTGGCACTTCTGTTTTAACTTGTATACATTTGTATCAATTTTCCCCAATCTAAGAAAGATGAAAAGTACTCACATGTTTCTGAGTTGTTGATTAAAAGGAAATCNAACAAAAATTCAAACACATGTAGAAAACAAAACTTGCTAAATGCTTTTTCTCTAAAAAGGCAATAACCCAAAAAGCGTTTACAGCAGACTAGACGATATCATGATGAGCTAAAACCTTTACTTCGTCCAACGATGAAGTTCTTATTCAATGCCTGATATCTTAAAGAAAAGCTTAAATGATAAGTATTGATAAGGGGAGCTTTAGCCACCTATATATCTATGTTTTTTATGATGAACAAAAGAATGTTTTATGGTTTCTTGCACAACAAATTATATAACAATTGTTTTATCATTACTGTGTTGGCGCTTGAAATGCTTGATAGATGTATTCATTGGTTGTAAGTGAATCATAAGTTTAAACATATTGCACATTACATTTATGGTAGAAATAATCGATTAGACATTGTATATAATTTGTTATATTTCTACAGATTTAAATATATGCTTAACAAAGGCAAAATAGTTGTGTGGTAATCGATTAAAACACGTTGCTATGCCAACATGTGTTTGATGAGTGCATTAATATGTTTGGAATAGAAATTGATTTAAAAATTTGCTTAAGTGTTGCACTTAAACGATTACATAAGTTTCCTAATGAGTTAAAATGTTTATCTTGTGAAAATCAATTTCATTTAAAGCCTTAATTGTCTATAATAGTCATATGTTTTTGGTTGTTGGCTTGTATAAATTGCATAATCGATTACATGCGCTGTATAATCTGTTAAATCTTAAACATATGTAGAACTGTTAAAGCAAAAGGAAAAACTTAACAAATTACATTAATTGCATAATCGATTAAAGTGCGTCAGGATTCAAAAATCCTATAAATAACTATCTTGCGCGTTGTTTCAATACAATCTTTGAACTATCAATTTCATAAACAACTTTTTGATTGAGTATTGATTATAGGAGCGTCTAAAACAAGTCTTGAAGAATCAAAGATCACATTTGGGTTAATCATCAAGATTCTTGCAAGAAAACTAAGCTGAAAGCATTCTGATCAATTCTGCACTGCTGGTGTACTACTGTGAAGATCAGATTCATCATTTGCAATAAGAGGATTGTGTTCCTGTGCATGTTAGCCATGAGAAGAGAACCGTGTTGTTCTTCATTGAGAGTTGGGATTGCTCTCAAGGTGTTCAAAGAGTTGAAATTGCTCTCTGGTTTGGTAAGATTGTGAGGTGTTCACATCTTGTTACTATAAGTGATTTTGAGTGGGGTGAGAAGTACATTGAGAGGGTATATATTTGTATTCTTATAACTCAATCATTATAGTGGAATCCCTTCAACTAAGATTGTTGAAGGAAGACTAGATGTAGGCTTGACTGAACCAATATATATCATTGTGTTGATCTTTCTCTCATTTCTCTTTTATTGTTGATTCATATACTTGTTTTATTGATTTCAAGAAAACTCAGATTTTGAAAAGCTTTTGAAAAGAACATATTTTTAAAGGGCTAACCAATTCACCTCCTATTGGTTGAGATATAAGGCATCACTTTTCTAACAATAAGCTCTACCTCAACGGTAGAAAATGTAAAATGAACTTTGTTGTTCTAAATAAGCAATAAATGTCATTAAATGTTCAACGTTCAAAAACAATAAAAATAATAAGAGATAAAACATATCTGCTGCATTTTTTTCATGTTACTCATATACTCTAATATACATATGACTTAGATATGTATTTATGCTCTAATACATGTATGAATACTTTTTGCTCTGATACACGTATGAACATTTATACTTAATTTTTCTCTGATACACAGGTCCTTGTTTATGCTTTGATACACATGCTTTGCATAAAAGATTTATATCTTGCTTTGGTACACATGTTTTGCATAAATGATTTAGGACTTATGGAAGTCATATATTATATATTCTGAATAATATGATAATCGTCGGATGTTACAAAAGACATGTGCTATGATAATTTTAAACAATATGCTTTGATACTTGGAAAACAAAAAAATCAGCGTTATATTTGGTTACTTAAAATTCATTTGCTTTGATACATTTTTTTTATAATACTATCGTACATCATACTCTAATACAAGCTTTGATATTCAAATGCTCTGAAAATCTTAAAAGAAAATTCGATATCATAAAAAAAAATTGTAAACGTGATGAGTGCAAAAATGTAGTAAATTTTCACATGGAATTTTGGCACTTCTGTTTTAACTTGTATACATTTGTATCAATTTTCCCCAATCTAAGAAAGATGAAAAGTACTCACATGTTTCTGAGTTGTTGATTAAAAGGAAATCCCAATTTTGTATATATTTCAGGTAAATTAAGAGAGAAGAGTAAATCCTCCAACATTTCGCCCAAGCTAGAATGATCTCGCTTAAGCTAGATTCATCCAGGAAGCCATTGATTTTAAAGTCATTTTCGCTTAAGCGAGAATAATTTAGCTTAAGCGAGAATGACTATCTTCTCCAAGAAGTTTCTTCTCGCTTAACCGAGAATAATTTAGCTTAAGCGAGAATTCGGGCAGTATATATACTCATGAGCTAGAAAAAAAAAAGGAGAAGATGGAGAGTGCAGAGAAAAGAAGACACAGAGCTACCCAAAGAGTTTTTCTTCCACTTTAGCTATAGGATCTTCTTCTTCATCTCTTAGAATGCTAATGGCCACCATGAGTGGATGATCTTTTCTCTTGGGATTGAATGTAATTGATTCGAACTCGAATGTAATCTGGTGATATTTATATATAGCATTTCTATTTTATTCAATATTAGTATTTTTGTTCTGCTCTTAGTGCTTGATTCTATTTGATCAATAGTTTAATGAATGTGGGTTTTAGTTTTGACTAGAAAGTATTTCTAAAATCTGATCTGAACAAGAATACTTGATATCGTGTGATGCTAGGGATAGATTTCAGTTTATCAATTGCTTTTAACACTTGATTATAATGTTGGACAGTTTGTTGGATATGTGAGGAATCAATATTCAAGGAATTGATCTTATGAATTTTATACGCGAGGAATCGGTATAAATGACTTTTGTGTGTTGCATCAATATTGGTAATTTCAGTTGCTATATGTTTATATTCATTCAGATTGCACACGAGTGAGATAGATGAATTCAATCCCAACTTCTCATATTAAACTTTCTTTAACTTATCTGTTGTTATTATTCTACTTTTACGCAACGTAGTATAAATTGTGAAAATCCATTATGAATTAGACTGAATACCTTTGTACATATGTTGTTTGAGATAAATTTATCTATTTAATTGAAGTTGTTCCTCGTGGGATCGACACTTTTACTTAAAAAATCATTATACTACAGTTGACTATTGGTACGCTTGCCAAAAGTTCAACAAAACGCTCTGATACATATGTTCTGAAATTATTTTCAAAATTATTTCGTTTAACATGTGTATTCCAACCATGAAAAAAGGGAGATGGTTAAGATAAGATCGTTTAGAGACTAGACCGTCTAGCAACTCAAGTTTTGAAGTTTAACAAAAAACATTAAACTAAATATCGCTTTGAATGAAAGTTTGTTTTAAAGAAATAACATCTAAGAGAAAAATATTTTGGAACATCTTTTACAGACGAATTCAAGCTTATATTAATGTTTTCTAAACTATATTGTCTAGTGGACAAAGCTTTAATGAATAACGTCTAATAAAATGAAGTATTTTTCTTAATGAACCAAAGCATCTATCTAAATGATAACACTAAAGCTTAAAAAATGTTTTATTCAAAACAATGTTAATTCAAGAAAGTGTCTCACAAAATGTATCGCCTAAGAAAAGATGGTTAAACACTGCATATCTCAAACAACTTTTGATAAAACATCTAATGTTTTACACCATCTGATGATCATATATGTTGAATTCTTTACCAAACGATGCATTTATTGATGAAATAAAAGCTATATATATATGTGTGTGTGTGTGTGAGAGATAGTTTGGTATTTTTCAATTAATAAAAACAATTACGTTATATAAATATTACAGTTATGAATTACATACACTTTTAAAATTATATTATTTTAATATAATAAAAATGTTAATAGCAAAACAAGTTTAAATCAAATGTATTCATACTGTTTAAAATGGAGGTTATACAGACTTACCCATAGAGATAAGTCTCTACTCAATTTTAGTAAAAGACAACTGTACACACTTCATATTAGCACTTGAAATGCTTGGAATATTAAAATGGTTTGAAAAACGAAAGTAAAAGGAAACTGCTTGGATGTGTCCATATTAACAACTATACTGTTACCAACAAATTTTGTACCATGCACTGTATGATTCTGATACAAAATATACTAATCTAAAGTCCCAAAAAAGTTCTATGGTTACTTATAATCTATAGTCCCCCGAAAAAAAAAAGGTTTCTCCTTCCCCCATTCCATAATTCTTCCTACACTCCATATTTTTTTAAAATTTAAAAACTACCTTTATATCTCAAAATAACCTTATAACTTCACTTTTTTTTCTTCAATTGAAATTTATTCAATAAATTTCAAAATCTGTTAAACAATTTTTCAAAAAATTTCAAAATCTGTCAAACAATTTTTTAAAAACTTCAACAGGTTTCAAAATCTGTTTTCAAAATCTGTTAAAAAGGGTATTTTTAAAATGTGGAGATGGAAGGAGAAAGGTGGAGAAATGCAGGGAGGAACCCTCAAAGAAAAAGAAATCCTAAACAATTCACTACAACACAAAACAGAATAATTCTTAGTTTCCTCTAGTATTATTTATCTACACAATTAGAACACTAGCCCATTTATTTTCTATTTCTAAATCCAGTGCTGTAGTCAAAGTGGCGTTCACAATTACTTGAAATTCTCATACTAAGTAAAAAGGCAAATGATATTCAAGTGTAAAGAAGACGAGGAATTTGTCACAATTTTAACCATTTCATTGTCTGTTATAAGAGACGTTTCACGATTTCCAATATAGTGTTCGTACAAATAAATTCACATAGACCACACCACAGAACCTATGCACAGACCAGAAATTTGGTTGAGGGGAAAGACCAAAGTGTTACGAGAATGACCAAGTCTTTCCACCTCGCACTCTTATTATGTAGAATTTGAGCCACATACATGTCTAGAGAGCTATAACCAAGTGCACCAAACTGAAGAAACAGCATTTGTAATGTCATTATCAGAAGCAACACTCCTCTAGCACACAACAGCAGCAAAGCGCTGCCAAGCTGCACATATAAATGAAGGATTCTTACTCTTGTTACCACCACATAAACTAACAGAAGATGAGTTAGAAACAGAAACTAAGATTTCATGCAATTCTATAGGAATTCATTAACGATGCGTCAGTAAAGCTAATTGAAGATGCACACAAAAGATTCAGGGCATGAAACATTTCCTTCTGTATACTATGTAATCTGAAAAGACAATTTATATCAGGAGAAACCTCGATTTAGAAATAATAAGTATAACTAAATTAATCAACCAATAATGCCTTAGGCTCATCAGTGAAAATGTAACTAGTTAGTAATTAGCACATCTAATTATGTATTAGGTCTGACTCAATAACCATGATTTTGATATTTGAGAAAAGTAAGATCTACCTACAAATTTTATTTTTCTTTCCAACATACGGTTGATCCTTTCGGTTCCATACATACTAAGATGTGCACTATCCAATCAGTTGGAGGATTTAAATAAACCAAAACAAAATAATTGTTTGTGTTGTATAAGCCAAAGCCAACACAAACCACAAAATCAAACCTAAGCCTCCAACTCTCAACTGAACACTTCTCACTTGCATATAGATAATTAAATAAATTAAAATTTAATACTTCCCCGTCTTCTAATCTTATATGTTTTAAATTTAATCACTGTTCATTTTGTCAACAGTCACATTCTAATTCGACAAAACTTTTAAGGTTAAAACCCTCAAACTAATTAACCATAAAATGCCGACAAGTTAAAATACAACTTCCATTCTAACAGGAGTAGAACTAAGAACTGTTCAGATAAACTCTTTTGTACACACTTGTATGAAAAGAAGAATAAATAAATTTCTCCAAAGTTAAAAATCATGTTTTAGAAGAACTAAGAGAGAACTTCTCCAAATTATGTTATGTATGAAATAATTTAATCTTAAAATAACTTATTTCACTTTTTGCTATTGTTTTTTTTCCTCCCTACAGTCCTTACAAAAGCTTATTCAAACATGTCCCCACAGATAACTAGCAGACCACGAGGGTAGATTATCATACTCTAAACAATTAGCCATGCAATAAAATAAACGAAGGAAAAAGAAATTAGGCAAAAAAATTTCTAGATCCTCAAATTTAGGTTAAAATTTGTCTTAGCCTTTATGCTTAAAGATAATTTTGGTTCTCATATTTTTAATAATTAGGGAATTTCTTCCCACAGCCTGGTACCCCAAATTCCATAAAATATGTAAAGAATAGGTGCACCAGAGTCATGATCTTTATAAGATAGACACCAAAACTAATTTACACAAAAAAATTGAGCGACCTAAAGCACATTTTACCCTTAAAAAGCTATGAAAAAGCATACCATCCTCGGAGGAACGGAAAGCATTCACGCTCCTCGTGATGGTGATGATGCGCCACATGCTGGTGCTGGTAGTGGTAGTGGGGCGGAGGAGGTGGCGGAGGACGCCCGTTATCGAAATACCCCTGGTACGAGTCATATGGCGGATGCGGCGGCGGAGGATAACCCCCGTATCCCGGCGGAGGCGGCGGAGGGTAGCCTTCTTGCGGCGGCGCCGATGGGTAACCTGGTTGCGGTGGAGGGTAAGGAGATCCGTATCCTGTCCAAAAAATTAATTTAATGAATTAATTAATTCGCGAATCTGAATATTAGGATGAAAAATTGTAATAATCAAAAATAAAAATGGAATAAGAGAATCAGAAATAGGGTATAAGATTGGTGTGTGAAGTGTGTACCTGGTGGAGGGTAGGATTCGTGCGATATTCTCTGGAAATTGCTCATTGCACTTGTTTTGTTTTCTCACTGTGGTGTTATGTTGTGTCTCTGAGAAAGAGAAGACGACCTGAAATAGTTGCGAGAAAGATAAGAGAGTAAGAAAATTAAATAAATAAATAAATAAAAGTGAGTGGGACCCGTTGTATAATTGTAACTTGGTTGGGTCTATAGTCATCATTCGACACGTTTCCAGACAAGCAACGCTTTCAGTGTGCTAACACTTTGGTTTTATAAATCTTATTCATAAATCTTAAACCTTAAGAAATAATTCTAAAACTTCACTCGTTTCCTTTTTACCAAGTCAGTTTTCAATACTAATTGTCTAATAAATTCATGAAAAAAATTAAGATCTTCTTTAACTACTTTCAAGGATTATTAACTGCGTGATTAAATTTTTTAGAATGGGATTTTCAAGAAAGATGGTCATAGGACATTTTTTTGAAAAAGAATGAAAGAGTAGTTACCGGAACTTATTTTAAAAAATTACAAACTATATTATATTTTCAAAATAAATTTGGGATTCAATATTTACTTTTATAAAATGTATTAACTATTTAATATTTAGAAACAAAAAAATTATAAAATTATTTATTTGGACCAAATAATGAATGACTTTTGTAACATCCCAAAACTACAGTGTAAAATCATATAATAAAATGACCACATATAATACAGTTTAGTTATTACAAAAGATAGGACGTACAGTTATGGCCCGAACGACCTTACAGGATAACGAGAAAGTTAAAACTGTACAAATAAGCAATTTAGACCGAACGGTTTACAAAAGGCCTATATCGAACTGTCATACAAAAGAAAAAGGTAAAAGATGATTGAACGGTCATCGTACAATTAAANATAGTGTTCGTACAAATAAATTCACATAGACCACACCACAGAACCTATGCACAGACCAGAAATTTGGTTGAGGGGAAAGACCAAAGTGTTACGAGAATGACCAAGTCTTTCCACCTCGCACTCTTATTATGTAGAATTTGAGCCACATACATGTCTAGAGAGCTATAACCAAGTGCACCAAACTGAAGAAACAGCATTTGTAATGTCATTATCAGAAGCAACACTCCTCTAGCACACAACAGCAGCAAAGCGCTGCCAAGCTGCACATATAAATGAAGGATTCTTACTCTTGTTACCACCACATAAACTAACAGAAGATGAGTTAGAAACAGAAACTAAGATTTCATGCAATTCTATAGGAATTCATTAACGATGCGTCAGTAAAGCTAATTGAAGATGCACACAAAAGATTCAGGGCATGAAACATTTCCTTCTGTATACTATGTAATCTGAAAAGACAATTTATATCAGGAGAAACCTCGATTTAGAAATAATAAGTATAACTAAATTAATCAACCAATAATGCCTTAGGCTCATCAGTGAAAATGTAACTAGTTAGTAATTAGCACATCTAATTATGTATTAGGTCTGACTCAATAACCATGATTTTGATATTTGAGAAAAGTAAGATCTACCTACAAATTTTATTTTTCTTTCCAACATACGGTTGATCCTTTCGGTTCCATACATACTAAGATGTGCACTATCCAATCAGTTGGAGGATTTAAATAAACCAAAACAAAATAATAGTTTGTGTTGTATAAGCCAAAGCCAACACAAACCACAAAATCAAACCTAAGCCTCCAACTCTCAACTGAACACTTCTCACTTGCATATAGATAATTAAATAAATTAAAATTTAATACTTCCCCGTCTTCTAATCTTATATGTTTTAAATTTAATCACTGTTCATTTTGTCAACAGTCACATTCTAATTCGACAAAACTTTTAAGGTTAAAACCCTCAAACTAATTAACCATAAAATGCCGACAAGTTAAAATACAACTTCCATTCTAACAGGAGTAGAACTAAGAACTGTTCAGATAAACTCTTTTGTACACACTTGTATGAAAAGAAGAATAAATAAATTTCTCCAAAGTTAAAAATCATGTTTTAGAAGAACTAAGAGAGAACTTCTCCAAATTATGTTATGTATGAAATAATTTAATCTTAAAATAACTTATTTCACTTTTTGCTATTGTTTTTTTTCCTCCCTACAGTCCTTACAAAAGCTTATTCAAACATGTCCCCACAGATAACTAGCAGACCACGAGGGTAGATTATCATACTCTAAACAATTAGCCATGCAATAAAATAAACGAAGGAAAAAGAAATTAGGCAAAAAAATTTCTAGATCCTCAAATTTAGGTTAAAATTTGTCTTAGCCTTTATGCTTAAAGATAATTTTGGTTCTCATATTTTTAATAATTAGGGAATTTCTTCCCACAGCCTGGTACCCCAAATTCCATAAAATATGTAAAGAATAGGTGCACCAGAGTCATGATCTTTATAAGATAGACACCAAAACTAATTTACACAAAAAAATTGAGCGACCTAAAGCACATTTTACCCTTAAAAAGCTATGAAAAAGCATACCATCCTCGGAGGAACGGAAAGCATTCACGCTCCTCGTGATGGTGATGATGCGCCACATGCTGGTGCTGGTAGTGGTAGTGGGGCGGAGGAGGTGGCGGAGGACGCCCGTTATCGAAATACCCCTGGTACGAGTCATATGGCGGATGCGGCGGCGGAGGATAACCCCCGTATCCCGGCGGAGGCGGCGGAGGGTAGCCTTCTTGCGGCGGCGCCGATGGGTAACCCGGTTGCGGTGGAGGGTAAGGAGATCCGTATCCTGTCCAAAAAATTAATTTAATGAATTAATTAATTCGCGAATCTGAATATTAGGATGAAAAATTGTAATAATCAAAAATAAAAATGGAATAAGAGAATCAGAAATAGGGTATAAGATTGGTGTGTGAAGTGTGTACCTGGTGGAGGGTAGGATTCGTGCGATATTCTCTGGAAATTGCTCATTGCACTTGTTTTGTTTTCTCACTGTGGTGTTATGTTGTGTCTCTGAGAAAGAGAAGACGACCTGAAATAGTTGCGAGAAAGATAAGAGAGTAAGAAAATTAAATAAATAAATAAATAAAAGTGAGTGGGACCCGTTGTATAATTGTAACTTGGTTGGGTCTATAGTCATCATTCGACACGTTTCCAGACAAGCAACGCTTTCAGTGTGCTAACACTTTGGTTTTATAAATCTTATTCATAAATCTTAAACCTTAAGAAATAATTCTAAAACTTCACTCGTTTCCTTTTTACCAAGTCAGTTTTCAATACTAATTGTCTAATAAATTCATGAAAAAAATTAAGATCTTCTTTAACTACTTTCAAGGATTATTAACTGCGTGATTAAATTTTTTAGAATGGGATTTTCAAGAAAGATGGTCATAGGACATTTTTTTGAAAAAGAATGAAAGAGTAGTTACCGGAACTTATTTTAAAAAATTACAAACTATATTATATTTTCAAAATAAATTTGGGATTCAATATTTACTTTTATAAAATGTATTAACTATTTAATATTTAGAAACAAAAAAATTATAAAATTATTTATTTGGACCAAATAATGAATGACTTTTGTAACATCCCAAAACTACAGTGTAAAATCATATAATAAAATGACCACATATAATACAGTTTAGTTATTACAAAAGATAGGACGTACAGTTATGGCCCGAACGACCTTACAGGATAACGAGAAAGTTAAAACTGTACAAATAAGCAATTTAGACCGAACGGTTTACAAAAGGCCTATATCGAACTGTCATACAAAAGAAAAAGGTAAAAGATGATTGAACGGTCATCGTACAATTAAATTGACTACTGACCGAACGGTTCTACTGTTCGGTCTTAACTTCTACCTCGACCAAACTTTCTTCTTCTAGCGCTTCTTCCACCAGCTCTTCTCCTTCTGCTCACATCCACACGGATGATCATTGCGACAGGACAATAACCGAACATACAAAACGGACAAGACAGACAAATAGGGTAAGCTTATGTAATTTAATTCATGTATCAGCATATTTCATAAAATCAATTAAACCAAATAAATCATTAACTCTTTCATGCAAAGCCTAATACTAGACTCTGACTGTCCGGACTGTATGAATTCTGTGTAGCTACGACGTTTGCGCACCCGGGTGATGTAGTAACTGGGTACCCTCAATAGCTACCACCCGAGGTTAGTCATATCTGTCCAAATTAACCATAAGGACTAGGACCTCCTGTCATTCCCACACATGACTTACTCTTCTCTACGTGAGAAACGAGTAATCACGGAATATCAGGATGAACCACCAATTTAGCTTTATCCACATTCATACTTTACAAATTTCCATATCCATTCATGAGATATTCCTCCCCAGAATACTCTTTCATAATCAAAGTCATTTCATCCATATCATATTCCATCATTTTTTATCATTAAAACTTCAACTTAACCAATTTGAATAAAGATCCCGTAGGATACCAAATACCAAACGTTAGTTTTTAACCTAGAACAAGACTGAAAACTTGAAGTGAGACCGAGATGTCTCCAACTCAAAACTAATCAAATCGAGAGAGTTACTCACTTGTTGTGAAAGGGACCGAATACAATAATACTTCTCAGAGACCAATAGAATCGAACGTTATTTCCAAATGAGCCAATTTAATGAACTGACTCTTGAGATTTCAAACCGAACACCATAAAGCCTAGGCCGAGTACTAAGACTCTTGGCCGAAACCAATTAAGACAGATACTATAGGACATCAAATAATAGCACTTGACAGAATCATATGAAGAAACCGAACGCCAATAAATACTTAGCTTCTTAATGAGTTAAACATAAAGGAAACTGAATGTCAGTCGAAGACCGTGCATTGTAAAGAGCGAACGCTATTGAGTTTGGACGAACGCTCTTATTATAAAGATAGATTACGGAAATGAGAACTAGCGCTTGGTGTAAGACCGAGCACTACTTAGTACGAGCGCTTGGTGTAAGATCGAGCACTACTTAATTTATAGAATAAAGGCTTGATAAATATAAGATATCATTTAACTAATGTTCAAGAACGAACGAAATATACAAATACATATAGATATACTGAAGTTTATAATCAAATACCAAGGAACGAATATCCTTGGTTGAACGCTTAAGTACAAATATTACAAAACAAAACGAAGACGCTAGTCTTCA